TGCGGTGCGGGTCCAGCGCCGGTGTCACCGCTAACGCCGGCCCCGCGCCCGCTCCGCGCTCGCGGGGCGTGTGAAGCCCCGGGCCCGGCGCTGCCCGGCGGCCTCGGTGAGGGGCACGGAGGACAATGGTGAGCACTTCAAGCGCCGTCTGCTGAAGAAACATAGCCGGGCGCTCGCACAATGGGCTATTTTCCATCGTCGTGTAAAGAACGGTTAGCTGATGGCTTGAAAATTCAATTGAATACCTGCCCGGACCTAAGTATAAATATTATTTTTTAAAAGAACAATATGCAATTAAAAACTAATATTTAACAACTTAAACGCCTATCCTCTAGGAAATAACAGCCTTTCTTCGCAAAACCTCCGAGACTGACTTCGCTTCCTCCTGTAAAATGAGGCCAGGTTTAATTCTCCAAAGATCAGTGAGATCAAGTATTTCAGCGCTCAATTTACAGCTCCGGGGTATGTGGGACCCTTTCCCAGCTATCTGGGTAGGCTAGGAAATAACTCCGGGAAGGAGGAGGGGAGAGAAGGAAGAAGAATTAATTCCCAAACACCGCAGTAACACCTGTAGTATTTCCTTAACTCAGCGTCGCTGCGGCGATCGCCGGGAGCGGACTTCTCCGCAGCAGCGCGCAGTTAAATTGCAAGCAGGAAAACGGCACAACTCTTACAAACAAATAAATAAACAAACAAATAAACACATCAGGTTTGCTCGTTTATAAAGAACCGCCCTAATTTTGGAAGATCGTTTCGTGGAGCAGCTCGATCCCGTCGTGATACAAGCGGGGAACTAGGCGAGGTACCGTCCGCCATCTCCGTAAACATCCTCGCCTGTTGATGCGTGGACTTGTTCGCTGGGCTGGAAGGAGCGAACTACAAATAAATCTGTTAGTTTCACTGACGCCTTTAAAAAAAAAAAAAATACCGACTGCGAAGGTCCCCGCTGCCCCCGGGGGGGTCTCTTACTGCGCCCCGCTCCGCCGCCCCCCGCAGCGGCTCGGCTCCTCTCTACAATGTCACACCGCGGCCCGGCTGCAACCTTCCCCAAACTCTCTGCAAGCTTCTTCTCTTCCTCCCTCGCTCCCTTCTCCTGAAATAACAGCGAAAGGGGGGACAAGCCCTCCCGCGCTAACCTCCCGGGGAGGTGGGAAGCGGAGACCGGGCGGCCCGTCTCCCTGCCGCCGGCCCCCCCGGGCGGACCGGGGCGCGCTGCCTCGCCGCCGCCCTGCCTGCGGCGGGGGCTCCGC